AAAATATATGCAGTCGTCATGGCTTCGAGAAAACTCAAGCATTACTTCTTAGCATTCAATATCAAGCTGCCAACGTCATACCCGATAAGGGAAATCCTAGTTAACAAGAAAGCTGAAGGAAGAATAAGCAAGTGGGCTTCCGAGCTGTCACCATATGTCTTGCAGATAGTACCTAGAAGCAGCATCAAATCTCAGGCCTTAGCTGACTTCATCACCGAGTGGACAAACGCTTCAGGAGAACCAGAGCCGATAACAACTGACCAAATATGGACAGTATGGACAGTAAACACAGATGGAGCCTGGGGTGCAACAGGAGCAGGAGCCTCAGCCATAGTGCAATCGCCATCAGGAGCTAAGATGCGTTACGCAGCAAGGTTGTTGTTCCCCACAACCTGTAACGTGGCAGAATACGAAGCAATAGTACTCGGCCTCCAAAAAGCAAAAACAGCAGCCTTCTTGATAGCTTCCCTCAGACGTTTTCTACACAGAAAACAGGTTGCCAGCAGTATATGAGCAAGACAAACCAACTTCGGTCCTTGCAATAGAAGCCCTAGACTGGAGAGCTCCGATAATACCCTTCATCACAGAGAAGTACACCCCTGAAACTGAGGCAGAAGGGAAGAGAATGGAAACACGCACAAGAAATTACAAAATGTTCGAAGGAGAACTATACAGAGCCGCAACCAGTGAGCCGTGGCTGAAATGCATTTCAAAGGATGAAGGGCAATCTTTACTAAGGGAAATCCATGATGAAGGGTGGTGCGCTTCTCATACAGCGCCAAGGTCGCTGGTTTCTAAAGCATTCAGGCAAGGCTTCTACTGGCCCACAGCACATCACGATGCCAAACTAATCGTACAAAAGTGCCCTAATTGTCAATGGTTTAGAAAACATTCGAAGCGGCCATCACATCTACTGAAACCAATCATGCCAACATGGCCGCTTGACAGATGGGGCATAGACATCATTAGCCCACTACCCACTGCGCCAGAAAATCTCCGGTATGCAGTAGTGGCAGTCGAATACTTCACAAAATGGATCGAAGCACAACCCTTAGCAACAATTACCTCAGCATCAATGACAAAATTCCTGTGGCAAAGTCTCATTTGCCACTTCAGAGTACCGAGGGAGATAACAGTTGACAACGGTACACAATTCGACAGCTTCAAATTTAGAAGCTGTTGCGAAGACATGGGAATACAACTATGCTTCGCCTCAGTGCATCACCCGGTATCCAATGGAGCGGTTGAAAGGGCCAATGGGATCATCCTTAATGGAATCTCCACAAGTCTTTGGGCGCTTCGAAAAGGAAAGTGGGTAAAAGTACTACCACAAGTACTTTTGTCTTCGAGAACACAAGAGAATAGGGGCATCAAAGCCTCCCCTTTCCGGCTTATGTACGGGTCCGAAGCAGTGACACCGGAAGAAGCGAAGCGAAGTGAAGAAAAAGAATAGTAATCTTTAGAAGCAGCAAGAAAACGGATGCGCTAACGCGTAACGGCTTTCACGCTAGTTGCTCAATCCGTTGCTTGTTGGGCTTACCTTCCCTTCTCTATAATGACATAGAATATATTGTACGACAGGTGGTTATCAAGTTCCGGCATTTCACAAACCGCCCTGGGTATAGAGACAGACTTTTGTACTACTATGGTCTTTTTCATTCTATGTGACAAGGGATTCCAACTTCTAGATTCACCTTCGACGGAGCGAGCTGAAAAATGAATTTAACACTTCTGTCTGGCGAGCATTCAATCGGGACTATTGACTGGGCTATTAACATAGTGCCTCCCTCAATCATAAAAAAAGTATTTTCGGACAGTCCATCTTGTGCGCCAGACCAACCTGTTGACCTCCGTCCGGAGCCTACTTGTCTCTACAAGCGGTGGACATGCAACTCCTTAACAGGGAAGAATTGGAGATCTTCCGTCAACCTTATAGAATTTGACCAGAGGGTCTTACCTGTGTGAACCTCAAAGAGCCCTTACCTTCCTAAGAAGGGACTAAGAAAAGGTCAAGCCGCACCTTTGCTCTTAGCATCATGTACCTTGGGTATCTCCTTGGCTTGACGTCTCCGTTTGGTGTCCTTTTCCTCTCCCTTTGGTCCCTTCCGAGGGCTCTTTGACTTCACTTCGCTTCGAAAAGTTTGTTGGGTCGATTACATTGAGGTGAGAGAAGAAACTTTGTGATGTGTGACCGTAGTAAAGACTCCAAAGCCCCAACCCGAAGGCCGAATTCTATGGTAGAGAGCTGACGCATTACAACGCAAAGCGGCCTTTCCCGAAGAGCTCCTTCGGAGAGGAAGGAATCGATCTACTCCAGATTGACTTCAACTTCAACAAGTTCTTACTCACGAACTGGGAATAGAAGAAGAAGCCATTCACAGTAGAAAGCCACTCTTCCAGAGTCTCGTCCAAGGGGCAATCTCTATGTGATTCGCTACGCCCTTCGCGAAAGTTTTTTTGCTCGCTTGAGTTCTTTGGTCTTCTCTGTTAGGCGGATAAAAGCCCAATGCTCTGCTAACAGTCTCCCACCATCAGCCGAAGAGTATGAGACTGTGTTCAGAGATGCGGACACAACGTCCGAAGATGTGAGACTGAAAGGATAGGTTCGATAGGACAAGAGACGAGGATCGACCAACTAAAGTGCTTCTATGACTTCACTTCGCTTCCTCAACTTTGTCGAACCTTCCTTCGTAGCCTTTTCTGATGATACACTTTGGCAACTGACGGTTGATTCGGCCGACCTGGCACTTTTGGGAGAGGGAAGGTGTAATTGACGACTATAAATCGTATTCGTCTACTTATTCTTATCAAGATCGAGTCATTTTCCCATGGGGTCGCGGCCCCAATACGAGAGGTCAGCTTCTCAACAGTCAGTTTAGTTGTTGGCCTCGAATTGACTATGGGCCCACCCGATAGGAATCTCCCAGATAGGAATGCCCTACATAGCTGAGCCTTAAAAAAAAGTAAAGGAAAGCCGGTGCTACGGACTTTCTGCCATCCATTGCAGCGGAGCCCTTTCATGAGCAGGCGGTGATCCTCTCGAAAGATTGAAATTGTAGAGCCCGTGTGGAGGCTCTGAATTCAATTCCTTCTATCCCCGACTTCTTTTTATTTCCAGAATTCGAGTTCGACCGCAACTTCCCTTTTCTTCGGGGGCACAAGAAAATTGCATGGATGCGGCCACATCTGAGTTTGGCCCTTGGATGAAGCGGCGAAACCCTGGGATTTAGCGACTTTCGGTGAAGCTACATTCGGACTATTTGCTTAACCTACATTTGAATTTGTCTTCCTTGCATTTAGCCGGTTAGAGTCAAGTTCATTTACATATGAAGAAATAAGACCTAGCCATATAACATAGTTTGATGGAAATGCTGCTGTCGTGCTGGTGCATATCACTTCTACCGTAAAAGGATTGGTATCCATTCTCTGGAAAATGTAACCATTGATAGGAACTATCTCGTAACCAACAAGGTTGCGTGCATACTTCAGCTCCTCGCTAAAGTAAACACCTACACAAGTATCTTATGCGACTCTCGGAATCGACAGCATAGATGAGTGACTTGATGGCAGCAAGGGCTTGCTTGCTAAAGT